TTGGTTACAAAAAACAAATATTATCACCATGTAAGAAATAGACATATAAATTTCAAGGGGGAATAAAGACAACCTGAGAAAAAAAAATCAGAACTTATTTTAAAACTTTTAGTCTCTTTGTTATATAAAAATAATTTATTTCCTACATAAAATATTTATTTTAAAATGTTGACAAATTAAATTAGGTTTTATTTATTATTCTTCATGGAAATGAAAAACTGATTATACTTACTTATAATCTATAGTCATAATAAATATTGTTTACTAAACCTTCCTCTAAATTAGAAAAATCAATCCTTAAATATATAATTCTCTACTATATATCACGTATTTTTTATGTTGAGCAAGTTTTTAAGTTTGTAATCTCTTTTGTTATAAAAAGTAGCTTACCTTCATTTTTCTACATAAAATGTTTGTGTTAAACTCTTGAAGATACATTAATTGTGAAAAAGTTACCATTTATTGTAAAGCTTCATTATTTTTTGTATTCGTTATTTGATAATTAATAAAATAATATTATTATTTCCTTGTAGGGTGATCTTAGGAATGCATTAGATCTCCTTTTCAAAAACTTAAGTTATTATTTATTTTTTCAAGCTTTTAACATTCTTTTAAAAAATAATAACTATTTAATTAATATAATTGGATGAAGATCTAAGAAAATTTGTTTAAAGAACAGCTTCCCGAAGACTGACCTAATTAGATGACTGGAGTTTTATAAAAAATTACATTATTTAGTAGATATATTTGGGGATGTAGCGACGCATCTACCGAATAAACAATCAGGTAAAATATTTATATCCAGTAGTTAAAGTTTATAATATTTTGATGAAATAACAATTTTGACAAATTGTGACGTAATATAATACTGTCATTGGTTTAATTGATAGTCGAAATTTGTATTACTTGTATTCCAAAGAGATGTTAGACGAGATACAACAACATGACATATTTATTTCTTATTTCACAAGATATTATAATTATAAATATTATATAGCTAATTCAATTTTATTCATCATCTTTGTATATTAAAAAGATATTGTTTCAATGTATACAATAATTTATTTATTTATTTTTATATATTTTATTCAATGTATAGATACAGCAACGCACGTACACTAAGCTAGTGTGTAAAATATACCACTTAAAATCTTAGTAGTAACTTATTTGGATAAAACTCGAGCTTTTCTTAAAATAAATACTATGCATACATTATTCCTTGTTATCTTGCAAATTAATGTCCATTTCTTTCTCATATTAATTAACCCGATCATTCATTCATACAATAAAAATGCATCCACCTAAAGAAGAAGATAGAAATTAAACAAACAAAATTTAACACAATCATAACTGAAACAAATGATATTAAATGAAACAGATTCTGCATAATAGAAATTGAGAAGAAGTCCAAGCTTTAGGTTACTATTCTATAATCTATCGACCAACTTATTAAGGTAAAAAAAGGAAAAAAAAAAAACACCTCTTCTAAATTCAGTAACTAATATTATTCTCATACTCTGAGTCTCTGACTAACTCATGGCTGCATTCATTGGATTAAATTTTCTTCAATCTGCCACACACATTTGACAAACAGTATGTTAATCTTCATTCAAGAAAGTACACCTGTTACACGCCCACATGCCTGAATCATCAACAACAATGTTACTCATTTGTATTTCCCTTGTATTCTTTTGGATTCACATCTTTGAGTCCATTTTTTAAGGCCGTAACCAACTTGTCAAAGTAATTTCCAGTAACTTTAGTCAGACCAATAAGTTTCGAACGAAAACGTTCATAATTCTTATAAGGCCTTTGCTCAGTATAATCCAATTTCTTAGTAGATCCGAGATGATCCAATAATTGTTGCTCTACACAATGATGAAGTCGCTCTAGACCTGCCCCTGCCTCCCCTTGTAAGTACTCGAAAAATTGTGTTTTCGCCTTATCCTCTTCTGGTAAATAAAATCCATAAGCATAAGACCATTTCAAGACACTTCTACATTCAACAATTTGTTGCCAAGCTTGTATTATGAATTCCAATTCAGTCTCAGGTAAAGAATGTAATTCACTTAGCTTCTTCACTCCTTCATTTTTCATCTCATTTAAATCCTTTAAAGCTTGTTGTTTTTGACTTCTCATTAGACACCCATCTCTCATAGTAGTGTGTGTACCTTAGAATATTTTTCTTGGCTTCTTTTACCTCTTTATTTTCCTCAAAACTATTACATCCACCAGTACAACGATCCCATTTTGTCAAACAAAGCCAACAAAATTCGTAAGAACACACACGTCATATGCATACATCCTTTATTTTTCTCAATGGATTTCTTACACCGAGGACATTTCTTAGTGAAAGCCAAAATCCATTTCATATTCGCAGCTTCTTCAAAATTCCTCATTTTCCATTTTTCTATAGTGTCACATTCAATCGGGCGATGAATTTCGTCCAAGCAATTCCAACAAAAACCATTAGAACAATCACAAATCACATCATAATTTTCACTTCCAATTTCAAATTCCACAACATATTCACATCCAGGAGTAGGACACCACTTAATCGTCCTATTTTCTTCAACATAAGATCTAAACATATATTCATAATACTTCAATTTATCTTTCTCACATACTAACTTGACAATCATACTTTCACCTACCATCATATTACAAGATGGATTAGGACAACGTAAAACAAGACATTTAGGACCATCATTAATTGACGTACTAATGTAACATTCCCAACATCCTTTACAAAAAGGATGTTGTTTACAAGCAGCAAAAGCAATATTATCAACAGTATATTCCTCAAAACAAATCCCACAATTCACATTATCAGAATCCAAACACTTAGTTTCTTCTTTCTCCAATAATAACATACCTATAGCCTTACTAACCTCGAGTTTATTAGCGAACCATTCTTCGTTAGCTTTAGTCATGTTCCAATTATAATGGCGAAGAAGAGCCAAAGCGACGTCTCTTTTAACCGAAAGAATCGTTGTAGTTTTTGATATATCGTCGTTGATGAGTTGATGAATGTCTCTATCCTTCAAAATTGTGTAATCTTTCTGATTATCTGAGTTGATAATTGGTTCATCACTGAAAAAATCTTCCTCCTCCGGCTCCGGCTCAGAATCCATATCATAAATATCATGATCGGAATCCATTAGTAAAATTTTGATAATGGTGAAACTAGAAAGACAGTACTAATAAACCCTAGAGAAGTTGTAGGGCTTTTGGAGGAAAAGAAGGCTTATTGGGTACGTATATGTTTATGCTTTAATAAGGTAATTTAAGAGATAAATATGTGCTTGAAGCCCAATAGGACACAAACTAAACCAGAAAATATATAGAAGTAAAAAAGACAGTTCGGTGCACTAAGCTCCCACTATGCGCGAGGTCCGAAGAAGAGCCGAAAAATATATAGAATTACTATTAAAAAGGCCACTATTTATGTTTTATTCCCTTTTTTAAAACCTTTGCACGGCAAACCATAAAAATACGGCATGTCCTTTTTTTTTTTTTATTTATGCCACCGTCTATATATTGTCCACTTTATCATAAAAACTTTGCAAATTATAACCTCCTCTTTATTATATGGTCTGACACATGTAGTAATGTGAAAGGATATGTAACAATGACCTGATACGAATCTTAACATATAATCAAAGGTTTCACCTTCTCAAAAGGAGGTTTAATTTTTATTTTGGCATGCCTGCAGGGAGCACTTTCCTGAATGGGCGCGAATCCAAATATAATCGGCAGGGGCAGATTTATAGCCATATTACGAGGTACGTGAACTCATAATTTCTCCACCAAACTAGGTATTTTATGTATGTATTTTCTAGAATTGGTCCTATATTATGTATTGGCACCTATGCTCCATAAATGTTGAATCACTTGGTTCAATACTTAATTATTTACTCAAAGAAACATGGATCAATTCCCACTTGGCACTTTTTTCCTCATTTTTTTAGTGATGCACCCATGTTCTAGAAATCCTAGATCCGTCTTTGATAGTCGGACTCTAATGCGGGTGCCGGACACGGATGGAAAACCAAAAAAAAAAAAAAAATCTTTTGATGATTAACAAACGAAATGTGAGCTTGTGTGAATAGAATTCTAGACTGCATTGAAGAAGCTCTTGATTATCATCTGTCTTTAAAAATGTTATTATCATCCGGATAGGAAAGAGATATCATTGTTTTGATATTATCGTAAGAAGGAATTTTATTTCTTCATCAATTTCCATCCCAAAAAGGATATTTTGAAAGGTATAGCCATATCCCACAAATAATTATTGACAAAAGTAAATAATTATTGTAAATAAAAAGTAAATTATCCTTCTGGTACACAAATCTATCTATTGTATTGTTAAATGAAAATGGCGTTTTCTCTTATGGTTTTCTTTCAGTTTCAGTAGTATCTAGTTTGGTTGTTTTCTCTCGGTTTGGTCACGATTTTGCAGTGTTTGGTAAGTTTTTTTTGATTTCCCCCTGGTGTTCGGTATCCGTATTTGAGCCCGACTATATCCGGATTCGTGCCAGGTAGGGCTCCATTCGNCATATCTCTGGTTAAGGGAGGAACAGTCCCATCCACGCACCACATCTTTTGGTGGTCAGTGTTTGGTAGGGAGACCTACTCTATTACAATCATTAGTACTGGATACTTTTACGACTGAAACTCGTAACCTATACATAGTAGGGAGACAAATTTACCGTTGCTCCAATTCTTTCTTCAAGTTTGACCAAAAAGTATGCTTGAGATACGAAACAACCCAAGCTTTAGATTACTGAACCGAATACACATGAAATTTAATGAAAATAAATTGTGCACGAAAACATGGAGACAAACCAAACTTTAGACTACTAATACACAATCTCTCACTCAACTTTTTAAGCTTACATTAGAAAACAAAAATACTTCTTCTAAGTTCAGTATCTAATATTCTTAAACTCTACACAACTGTTTGGATAAAATTTGCTTAATTTAAGAAAGTGCATCTCTCACTTACCCTTTTTCCTCTTGGATTCTTTTGAGTTTTTCACATCTTTGTGCCCATTGCCTAAGGCAGTAACCAAGTTCTCAAAGTAATTTCGAGTAACCTTAGTCAGGTCAATAAGTTTCGAACGAAAAAGTTCGAAATTCTTATACTCAGTATAATCCAATTTCTTGATATATCCAAGAGGACCCAACAATTCTTTCTCTGTACAATGATGAAGTCGCTCTAGACCTACCTCAGCTTCCCCTTGTAAGTACTCGAAAAATTGAAATTTCGTCTTCTCCTTTTCTCCTAAATAAAATCCATAAGTAGGAGTAACAAACGGGCGGATTGAGTCGGATATGGTTCGGCTTGAAAACGAATAATGAAAAAATAGATAAATTATTCGACCCGGTCCATATTTATTACGAATAAAAAACGGGTTAACCGGCGGATAATATAGGTAGCCATATTATCCATAACTTCTCGCATATGATCACTTTTAGAAAAATTCTTAGTCTCCCTAATTTGAGGAACCTTCAATTTGAGGCTTTATAAATGTAAAAGTTAAACCCATTGGTTATTCATTTTCTAAATGGATAATATGGTTCTTATCCATATTTAACCCGTTTTTAAAAAGTTCATTAACCAACCCATTTTTAATGGATAATATTGTTGGTTAATTGTTCTCTTTAAACCATTTTGTCATCCCTATCCATAAGCATAAGTCCATTTCAAAACTCTTCTACATTCAACAATCAGTTGCCAAGCTGGTATAATGAATCCTAATTCAGTCTCAGGTAAATTGTACAATTCACTTAGCTCCTTCAAACCTTCATCTCTCATCTCATTTAAATCTTTTAAAGCCTTTTGTCTTGACTTCTCATTATATGCCCATCTCTCAAAGTAATGTGTGTACCTTTTTACTAATTTCTTGGCTTCCTTTACCTCCTTTTTTTCCCTCGTAACGATTACAACTACCAATACAAGTAGGGGTATTAATGGATATTCGAAAACAGATAAAACCGATTAAAATGTATCGCATCGAACCAATTTTTAGGTTTCTTTTAAAGAAATAGTAGGTTTTTATATAAATTTATAACCGCACCGAAAATTAGGGCAAGTTTTTTATTATATGAAAATAAACAGAAAAAATACCGAACCGTACCGCATAAATTTTACATGTGAAAATATATATTTATATAGTAAGTATAAACATATTAATGCATTAATTTTTTTTTGGGCCTTGGAATTATGAAAACTGTTACAAGCCAACAAGTAATTAAACTCAAAATACTAATTCCTAAAACTTATTATGCTACTTCTACTTAAACTATGTTATTTCAAGTATCTTCATTAGCAAAACACAAAGTATTCTAGCGATTATGAGTAACATACTACAATTTATTGAATATATTTCCTTTCATATAATTTAAATTTATCTTTTTGAATATTTAATCTTCTATAGACTTTATTCTTGAGTCCCAACTTGGTTAATATCTTTCCACTCGTGTGATTTCTATTTTTATTTTGCCTTTGCTTGGTTTCTTTTACGTTGTTGTAGAATAGTTGATGGATCTATACCCTAACCATCTTTTTTTTAATTCATCACCCTTTAAACAGTAAAAATGTCTAGAGAGTTTTGCTAAATCCTATAAAAGAATATATATTATTGCATTCTACTTCTATTGGTGAATTTTATATGATATTTAAAAAAATACTAAAAATTAACCGAACCGTACACCGACATGATTGGACGGTTTCGAAAAGTCTAATTTTGGTTATGCATAATAGAATAACCGAAAAATTGGTATGATACAATTTTTTATAAAATAACCGACGGAACCGAAACATTAACACCCATAAATACAATGACCCCATTTTTCTAAACAAAGCCAACAAAATTGGTAACCACACACAAGTCATATGCATACATCCCTCATTTTTCTGAATAGCGTTCTTACATTTAGGACACTTCTTAGCAAAAGCCAAAACCCAATTCGTATTTTCAGATTCCGCAGAGTTTCTAATTCTCCACTTAGCTATAGTGTCACAATCAATCGGGCGATGAATTTAGTCTAAGCAATTCCAACAGAAACCATTAAAACAATCACACATCACATCATAACTTTCACTTCTAATTTCAAATTCCGCCGCATATTCACATCCAGGGGCAGGACACCACTTAATCTTCCTATTTTGAACATAAGATCCAAGCAAATAATCATAATACCTCAATCTATCTTTTTCTGAGGCTAACTTATTAATCATACTTTCACCTACCATGATTTTACACAACGGTTCAGGACAACGTAACACAAGACATCTAGGACCACGATCAACGCGTGAGCAATGGTAGTCAACTCCAAATCATGAACAAGGTAATTCTTTTCATGGGGCTTTAACTGACGAGAAGTATAAGCAATCAATCTACTCTCCTGCATCAACACACACTCAATACTAACTCTCGAAGCATCACAATACACTGTATATGAACCTGAAACTGATGACAAAACTAACACTGGAGTTGTGGTCAAGACAGTCTTGAGCTTCTGAAAGCTCGCCTCACACTCATCCGACCACATGAAAGGCACACCCTTTTGAGTCAATTTGGTTAAGGGTAATGTTATAGAAGAAAATCCCTGAATGAACCGACGGTAATAACCCGCCAAACCAAGAAAACTGCGAATCTCTGTGGCTGAGGACGACCTGGGCCAACTCTGGACCGCCTCTATCTTATTTGGATCAACCTGAATACTCTTGCTGGACACTACGTGACCCAAGAAAGCCACTAAACTGAGCCAAAACTCACACTTGGAGAACTTTGCATAAAGCTTCTCCTCCCTCAACCGCTGTAATACCACTCTCAAATGTTCCGCGTGCTCCTCCTGACTACGCGAGTATACCAGAATATCATCAATGAATACAATGACAAACGAGTCGAGATAAGGCTGAAACATGATGTTCATCAAATGCATGAATGATGCTGGGGCATTGGTCAGCCCAAAAGACATCACAAGGAACTCATAATGATCATATCGGGTCCTGAAAGCTGTCTTAAGAATGTCCGAGTCCTTGATCTTCAACTGGTGATACCTTGAACGGAGATCAATCTAGGAGAACACTCTCGCTCCCTGAAGCTGGTCAAGTAAATCATCAATACGAGGCAAATGTTACTTATTCTTGATTGTAACTTTGTTTAACTGCTTAATCAATGCACATCTTCATCATGTCATCCTTCTTCTTCATAAATAGAACAGGCGCACCCCAACGCGACACACTAGGCCGAATAAACCCCTTATCAAGGAGTTCCTGAAGCTTCTCCTTTAACTCATTCAACTCTGCTGGTGCCATACGATACGATGGAATAGAAATGGGCTGAGTGCCCGGCACCAAATCAATACCAAAGTCAATATCTCTGTCCGATGGCATGCCCGGTAGGTCTGTAGGAAACACATCCGGAAAGTCCCTCACTATCGGGACTGAATCAATGGTAGGAGTCTCTGAATTGAAATCCCTCACAAAATCTAAGTAAGAAAGACAACCCTTCCCAACCATCCGCTGGACCTTCAAAAATGAAATCATCCTACTGGGAAAAAATCCCTCAAACCCCGCCACTCAATCCGTGGCACACCCGGCATAGAACATCGCTGCCTTAGCATGACAGTCCAAAATAGCATGATACGAATATAACCAATCCATGCCCAATATCACATCAAAATCGACCATACAAAGTAACAGAAGGTCCACTCGGGTCTCCAAACCTCCAATAATCACCACACACGATCAATATACGCAGTCCATAACATTAATGTCGCCCACCAGAGTAGATACACGAATAGATAAAACAAGAGACTCACGGGGCGTATCCAAATAACGAGCAAAATATGATGACACATATGAAAAAGTGGAATCAGGATCAAATAACAAAGAGGAATCTCTATGGCAAACTGAGATAATACATATAATCACAGCATCTGAAGCAATAGCATCGGGTCTAGCTGGGAGTGCATAGAAATGGTCCTGACCACCACCTGATCGACCTCCCCCTCTAGGGCGACCCCTAACTGACTGTTCTCCACCCCTAGCTAGCTGGGTGGGTGGTGAAGTAACTGGTGCTGAAGTCAATGGCTGACTCCTCTGCTGAGACGAACCCCAAGACAACGAGGACACTGCCTCCATATATTCCCCAACTCTCCACACTCATAACAACCCAATAGTATTGTAGACGGGGATTGAAGGGAATCCCTAGCACTGAGATGAATAGTAGAAGAACCTATCTTCGAAGGGCCCTGAACTGATGGAGCGCGGGACGAACTCTGGGCTGGAAGGGCACTAAGTGGTGAATGGCCCTTATGAGAATTGTGAGAACCATAGCCCGATGATGCCCCATGATAATCTGGGCGAGCTGACTGAGCATGCCTGAATGGACGACCTCTGCCATGCTGAAACTAACCCCCATGAGGAGTACCACTGAATCCACCCTGACCACGAAGCCTCTTAGCCTCCCTCTCAACCCTCTCCTGACCACAAACCAACTCAATATGTCGAGCTATGTCAATAACCTCATCAAAGGTAGCACCAGATAACCTTCTCTCTGTTCATGAGCAACCGAAGCTAAAAATCGAGGCCATCTATAAACCTCCTGATCGTCTCCCGGTCTGTGGGAACCAACTAGACTGCATGACGATCCAACTCGGAGAACCATATCTCATATTGTGTAGCAGAACTATCACCCTGATGAAGCTGCTCGAACTGCCTGCGCAACTCCTCTCGGCGAGACTCAGGTACAAACTTCTCCAGGAAGAGAACGGAGAACTGTTGCCAAGAAAGGGGCGCCACGCCAATTGGCCTACGCCTCTCGTAAGCCTCTCACCAACTGAGTGCAACCCCGGAGAACTGGAAAGTAGTGAATGAGACCCCAGTGGTCTCCATAATTCCTGCGGTTCGAAGCATCCTCTAACACTTATCCAAGAAGCCATGTGCATCCTCACCCTCAACACCACTAAATGACGGAGGCTAAAGTCTACCAAACCTCTCCAATCTGCGTTGCTCGCCTTTTGGCATAACAGGAGCTACATAGTCCTGAGTAGCTGCAACCGGCTGGGCTGGAGGTTCCCCTGGTGTCTGAAGTCCCTGCACGGCCTACTAAGGTGTGCGAGCAGCGGGAGTCTGAGTGCCTCCCCTGGCCTGAGAAGTAGCTACGGCCGTAGTAACTGAGACTGCTTGAACCAGGCCAGTGCACACTGATAGAATCAGGGCGAGGGCCTCCTGAAGGCCTGGGATGACAATAGGCACAGCCGGTGCCTGAGCTGGTACTGTTGGAGCGTCCGCAACTGGGACCCGATCCTGAACTGGGGTGGCTGGTGGATCTGCAGGTGCTGCCCTAACTGTTATGCGGGCTGCACCCATGCCCCTACCATGGCCTCGACCTTTAGTGGCCCCAACTGGTGGTACTAGTGGTCGTCCGTCCTGACCGGTAGCACGTGTCCTCACCATCTGTGAGAGAATAGAATAACAAAAGTTTAGTTATCAAACCAACCCGACATTACACGTTGACAAGTTTTAAAAATATTTTATATATAAAAATAATTATTGTTATCTAATTTATAAATATAATTTAAACTCTTTAATAGTTCTCTCTTTTAATATATTATTTCAAACTTGAACTTAAAACTTTTGAATGATCAAATATGTTTTTATAGCCCATAAATGTTAGTAACTCAAATAAAACCCAAAGCAAAATCAAATCAATACTAATGCTAAAAAAAATTCAATTCAATACTGAGTATTTATTATTTAGTTTTAAATTGATTTAGATAGTGAAAATGCATAACTCACTTTTAATATTATTTAGTCATATAATTAATACTTAGTATTTATTAGTCGTACTTATTTTTAACATGACTTAATACTTTTAGATAATATTTATTTTTATTATGGTTTATTAATTAGCAATATTTATCTTATACGATTTGTTGAGTATTTTAGTATAATTATGACTTATCTCACATTATTTTGTATTATTTTATTGGGTATCATCTTATATAGTTTTATCTTACTAGGACCTAAGAAATATTAGATCAAAAATTATAAATTTTATGCTATGAAGATTTTATCGGAAACAAACCCGAAAAATCCGAGAAAACCGAAAAACCCGATAAAAGCTGTTACAACACAAAAAGCTATTATTAAAGTTATTCCATAAAAGGAGCGTTAGAACACAAAGTAAAAGGGTTAATATATTATTAAGAATCAACAAGCTATAAAAGTGTACTATGAAGCACAATCAAAGTTAAATCCTAAACAAGAACAAGTTTTCAATACTATATTGTAAAGAGTTGACTCTACTATAACGGAATTTATTCTTTGTAGATGCCTCCGGCGGAATAAAAATAATATTTCTATATCATGCATTACTTGCAAATATCATATCAAGAGGCATGATACTATTAACAATAATAGCAAGTGGTGTACCAACAACGATATTATTGTGAGGCCACCCACTTTAGATTTGATATACCTCCTTAAACAACTTAAATAGCCATCACAAATATATCAAAGCAACACAATTAATGGTGCTAATTTATAAGAAAAACAAAATTGATAATATGGGATGAACCACTTATGGCTAAGAAACTTCAGGTCGTATCAACATCAACCTATTACCAGTGGTTCTGGCATACTTTCATGGTAATCTTCAAGTTACTTTGGCCAAAGGAGGAAGCATACATAAAAAAAAATGTCCACAAAGAAGTATTCGTTAAGATACCAACGCATTAAATACTTCTAAACTATAATACATAATTATCTAACAAACATGACAAAATTAATTATTTGTGTAAGTTTTGATGATGTCCTTTTATTTTAAATTCATATATTATGCTAATGTAATAATATTTTTCTCATTTAGATGATTGTTGTATTATTATTATAAATAAAAGTTCTCTCGTTAATTAAATTTTATTGTTCCTTTATCATGACCCTAAAACCGACCCGGTCGTGATGGCACCTATCGTGAAACTAGGCCAGCCGGCACAAATCCCAAATCATACCATGATTCCATAAAAATCATTTTTAAGCCATTAATTAATAAAATCTCGTAATATAAGTCTAAATAACCAGTGCGAAAGAAAATAACACAAGTCCGACATCGGGGTGTCACAAGTCACGAGCAACTACAAGATCTGTCTAAGTACAAGAAAAACTATCATAGTCCGAAAATAAAATACTAGGAACAGTCTGAGTAAGGTAAGAAGGAGAAGTGCAGGGTTGCGAACGCCAAACAGCTACCTTATCAACTCTGAAGACTTGCTAGAACAACGATCAACATTCACTATCGCGACCCACAACTCCTGGATCTGCACACAAGGTGTAGGGAGTAATGTGAGTACGCCAACTCAGTAAGAAATAAAAGTAAATGAAAGCTGAGCAGTAAGAAAGCAGATAATTCCATGTCATAGCACTACAGCAAATGCAGTACGTTCCCAAAATAGTACAGAAATCAATTAACTCGTAAAATAACTCACTTTCAGTAAAACCTTTTCTTTTAAAAACATCTTTCAATAATTTCCAACAAGTGACGAAACAATGAGTAAAAATGATAGGAATGTAAACAACTCATCGGGCAAGACATGTACCATAAACCGCCCCTCGGGAAAAATATCAATAGAACCAGCCCCTCGGGCTACCTCACAATCACTCGTAATCAGACCCTCGGGCAACAGCATGAATCAACAACAGCTCCTCGGGCAAAATCACATCACTCACACTGGGTACCCGGGCTCACTGGGGGTGTTCAGACTCCAGAGGGGCTTCTACAGCACAAGCGCTATCACAATCCATCTGGTGGCATAATAAATCAGGCCCTCAGCCTCTCATGTATCACAAATCAGTACAACATACTGCGGTGCATAGCCAGATCCCATGATATACTCATAACACAGGCTCTCTACCTCACTCAAACAGAAATCTCTCAAACCACTCGGGCTAATAGTAAAACAGGGTGCTCAGCTCAAAATATCATTTATAGAATCAAAATAGGGTAAACAAAACTGAGTTATGAAATCAGTAAAACATAGCATGACTGAGTGTAGATATTAAACCAAAATAGTAAGGAAACGGTAGTAAAAAGCCCCTAAGGGTCCAAACAGTTGGCACGAGGCCCAAATATGACATTCGTCCCAAAACATAGTAATACTTTCCAAAACACAATAGTATCAAATAGTTTTCAATCAAATACGCGACTTAATAGTCGTACGAGACGGATCAAGTCATAATACCCAACGGTGCACGCCCCCACGCTCGTCATCCAGCGTGTGCGTTACCTCAAAGTAGTGAAACAATGTGAAATTCGGGGTTTCATACCCTTAGGACAACATTTACAATCATTACTTACCTCAAACCAGACAAAACTCTAGCCCACAATGCCCTTGCCTCTCGAATCGACCTCCAAATTCTCCAAATCTAACCAAAATCAGTATATTATCATCAATATACGCTAAAGGAACAAAGCCCAAGTGAAAATAATCAAACTAACTCAAAAATCCCGAAATTGGCTCACACTAGGCCCCTGGGCCCACGTCTCGGAATCCGATAAAAATCATAAAACTGGAAAACCCATTCGCTTGCGAGTCTACCCATATCAAATTCACCAAAATCCGACATCAAATGACCATCCAAATCCCCAAAATCAACTCTCCAAATCCTCTTCCATTTTCCCCAATTTTCACCCCAAATTCCCAAATTAAATGATAAGAATCAAGACATAATCATGAGATTTAACCAAATTTGAGTGAATAACACTTACCCCAATCAATCCTCTGAAAATCCCCTTCTCCCGAGCTCTCTAATGAATTTTACAATTATGGACCAAAACCCTCGTTTTTGAACTTAAACATTCTGCCCAGGAATTTCCTTCTTCGCGAATGCGGTATCTCCCTCGCGTTCGCGAAGCACAAGCTTCCTCAGACCAAATTCCGTTCTTCACGAATGCGAGGGCCCACTCGCGAACGCGAAGACCACTCAACTCGACCCTACGCTAACGCGAACACCCCTTGCGAACACGTAGCCTTAAACTCATACAGCTTCGCGAATGCGGGACCTACATTGCGAATGAGAAAAACAACTCGGCTGCCCCTCTCATTAACCCTTCGCGAACGCGAAGAAGGAATTCTCTGCAACAAAATACCAGAAATCTCCCAACTTTAAAAGCCAAGAATTGATCCGTTAACCACGCGAAACTCACTCGAGGCCCTCAGGACCTCAACCAAACATGCCAACACATCACATAACATCATTCAAACTTGCTCCAACCTTCGGAATACTCAAAAGAACATCAAAATATCAAATCACCATCGGATTCAAGCCTAAGGATTTCCAAACTTCCGAATTTCGCAAACGATGCAAAAACCTATCAAACCTCATTCGAATTTGCTAAAAATTTTCACACACATTACAAATGACACAACAGACCTACTCCAACTTATGAAATTCCAATCCGACCCCGATATCAAGATTTCCACTGCCAACCGAAAAAAGCCAAAATTCCAATTTCGCCAATTCAAGCCTAAATCTACCACGGACCTCCAAAATACATTCTGATCACGCTCCTAAGTCCCAAATCATATAACAAAGCTATCCGAACCATCATAATTTACATCCTAGACCTTCTACCTATAAGTCAACGTCCAGTTGACATTTCCAACTTAAGTTTACTCAAAAGAGACTAAGTGTCTCATTCCTCTACAAAATCACTCTGAACCCAAACCAACCAACACAATACGATAAAATACAGATAAAAACACATAAAGAAGTAGAAATGGGGGAAACAGAGCGGTAACTCATGAAGCAACCGGCCGGGTCGTTACATCCTCCCCCTCTTAAACAAACGTTCGACCTTGAATGAGTCAAGAAACATACCTGAAGCCTAAAAAAGGTGTGGGTATCTGCTCCGCATCTCTCACTCGATCTCCCATGTAGCCTCCTCCACGGGCTGATCTCTCCACTACACTTTCACTGAAGCTATATCCTTTGATCTCAACTTCCGGACCTGCCGCTCCAAAATAGCCACTGGCTCCACATCATAAGTCAAATCACCGTCTAACTGAACCATGATTAAATCCAAAACATGAGACAAATCGCTAATATACTTCCGGAGCATAGAAACATGAAATACCGGATGCACACTCGACAAGCTAGGTGGCAAGGCTAGCTCATAAGCCACCTCCCCAATCCTCCGAAGCACTTCAAAAGGCCCAATGAACCGAGGACTCAATTTACCCTTCTTCCCAAATCTCATAACACCCTTCATGGGTGAAACCTTCAATAGAACCTTCTCCCCAACCATGTAGGACACTTCACGAGCCTTTCTGTCAGCATAACTCTTTTATCTTGACTACGACATACGAAGC